ATAAGACTGGATGAGTTTACTCCACAATTGCGTGACGTAAGCTAGGAGGTTCCCTGTGGATCGCTGATGCCGGAAACCATACTGCATGTCGCTAATCAAGCTGTGACGTTCGAGGTAGTCCAGAAGCTCGCGATTTAGGCCCCTCTCCACCACCTTACTTATAACAGAAAGCAGAGCTATAGGCCTGTAGTTGTAAGGGCCGGTCTTATATCCCTTTTTTGGGATGGGTTAGACATGAACGAATTTCCAGTTTTCTGGGAAAGAGCCAGATACATAAGATATCTGGAAGAGACGCGAAAGAACTGGGACAAGCTCCGCTGCAAACCTCTTCAGTACAGTGGCAGGAATTAAGTCCGGACCAGAAGCTTTGTTGATGTCGAGAGACAAGAGCACTCGTCTTACGGTCTTATGCCTGAATGTTACCTCCCGCATAGTGTAGGGAACCCTTTGAATTGACCGTACTTGGGCGTTGGTGGAGTTGGCAGCAAAGATCTTGGCAAGCACTTCCGCGTTGGCGTTTGAGTCCGATACCATCGTTCTATCCTGACACGTAAGTGGTGGAAGGCTACTGTGTTAGAAGTTCTTCTCAATCTGATTGGCCAGAATCCAGAAAGACTGTCTGCTATTGCGCTGTGACATTACCCTGTGGCTAACTCTTATATCGTGTTGTTTTTTGGCATTGGGAACCGGTTCGTTATATGTGTTTCTGGACTCGACGTCGGCTAGTCTGTTCTTTACAGTGGAGTTTTATAAGAAGGTTTTGTGTGCGTTGATCTTCTGCTGGCGAGCAGTGTCAGGATTCGTTAAAACAGCCGTTGAACATTGGTTTAGGAACTTTCACTGTATGAGGGATGTATTCCTCCATTCCGACGTAGATAATTTCTGTTATCGAAGAACAGACAGTCAACGCACCCGCGTCAGTGAAACTGACGTCTCCCCAAGGAGAGGTAGAGAAGAAGTTGCTAAGCCCCTCCCAGTCGGCATCTCCATAATGCCAGTTTTTGGGGCCTGGCCGAGTTTCTGCTGCCACATCGGGTTATGGCCGAAACCTAACCTCCACAAAACCGTGATGTGGGTCACACAGGGTGCGTGGTCAGAAGGAGATCCAGCGGGCTACTGGCATATGACGAGACGGGGGTGAAACAAGAAGGGGGTCAACCATTGAGTAAGAGCGAACGCTTCAACTGCACGACCTGCTGCATCGGTCTTGTTTGAGCCCAACCAAAGCAAATTATGGTCATTGAAATCACCGAGGAGAACTACCTCTGAAGCAGGGTGATTGATGTTCAGGATCTTGACGGCGAGGCATTTAAGAAGGTCATCCCAGTTATGGTCCGATGAAGAGCGATAAAGGCAGTAAATACATTTGGGGGATGTTTTGTAATTGAGGCGAAGCCGCAGAATGTCCTTCCGGTCTGATTTTAGTAGGAAAGACTGCTGCGGACAAAGGCCACAACTCCACCGTTCTTTCTTAGATTGGAGTGCATTTCGTAATTTGGTGCGGACTCTGAGATGCTTGACTCCGCCAAGAAAAGCATGGCGGAGTTAATCCCGCAGATATTCGTGAAACAAATTTTATCTTCGATTTTATTCTCTCGAGTCTACCCTCCACCCGGACATTTCCGGGAGTGGAGTGAGTTTACGTCCGGAATTCTTAGCATTCGAGGGATCTATCATCATTGATTTCTTTGTTTTGGAAGATAACCGACTGCATAGCTTCAGGTTGGAAACATGCGGACATTTATAAGACATCCGCCACCCGGCAGTCGGTACTGCGGGATTCCTTATGGCGTGAACAATCACTTGAACGGGAAAAAGTTGTATACTGGGTACAACAACTTCCGGAACAAACATTTGCCACGGGGTTGGGGCTTTTGAACATTCATTATAGATGTTACAGTTATTTTTCAGACTTTCGTTGTCGAAGTTAGATTTAGCAACATAAATAGACACATGCGCGGGAGATATGCGGGACGTGTGGTATTGACTTTGAGCATCGATCAACGCAGTTTCTGGACAGGCCACAGGCGCATCGCTAAACAAATGTCATAAATGTCTATTTCCAATGTAGGCGTTCACCTAACATAGTGTTTCGCTACAACACCAACTCCGAACAAAATCAGTCAATCTTTACACACTTTTCAATTACTATTGAGCACAAACTGAACATAAATCACGTTTTAAGTGCAATCTGTATATCTAATATATTACCCAGACTTAGATGTTTCACAAGTCACAATACTCGTATATACGTGTAAATCGTAACGATTGTGCTGTAAACAATGATATTAAAGAGGCTCAGTTCATAACTTATAATTAGTATGCCTCTGTCGCCATGATGTGTCAGAAGGTAACACAGTGGTGTTAGATTACAAAAGCTAGTGTCAGACTTCTAGTGGGGCGCCCCTCTAAATCCGCCACTGGCCTCCCTTGACTCTAGTCTTACGGTCTGATGATTAAATTAGTTAACTATTGTGTAAAAAACAGTCATCTATAATACCATTTCAAGTTTAAATTTGCTCACATTAGATAGTTCGCTAAAATGTAAGTTCAATCAATTGCGCAAGAATACTTAGTAGATACAAGTACGTATCCAGTATTCACAAAATTTGCATCGTATTCATTTGATCTTGAAATATCCATACATATAAATAATAATCTTTGCTTCTGTCAGTGAAGTAGTAACAAAGACCTTATAAGAGTTATTGTAGTTTTTTCGAACATTTCTATTTATATTATCCGTTTAAATTTAGCATTGATATTAATTTTCTCAGAAAAATATCTCACTTGTTCTCACTACTTTTTTTAAAAAAATCTCACTTATCATAGTTAAATTAATGGGTTTGTTCGCCAGCAACCCTGTTGTAACTTTTTTTAGGACTAGGTTAAAAATGCAAAAATATATTTTTTACGTTCAAGTGATGAAGTCAACATCTTCGACAGGTCACAGAGGTTATCAATGTGTAATCAGTGCTGTTGGTGTTTGCATGTTTGCAACGATCTGATATCCACTTCTTTAATTCATGTTCAAATACAGGATTTGTGACATGACAATTTTTGGGTACTTATATCTTAAGTATTTTGAGACCCTTAAATCAAATCTAAAAACAGATATTTTCTATCACCCACAGATATTTAGTAATATCTACTTTTATGAATTACAATGCGTAACATCTCATATTACCGTATTTCTCGGCGTTTATGCGATGACCTGTCTATTCCTGTTTATTATATGCGAGCTCTGTGTTCAGAGAGCAGTAGTAGACTAATAGCAGCCAAGTCAGTTACGTTTTCTGTATTGAAAGTACTGAGATGTTCGGAGTACTGTTAATTTTTGTTGAAACGGTGTGTTGTTTTTCGTTTATTGTGATCGAGACTAGCTTTATGGACAATGCCTAGAATTGTGTAAATAGTGCGAATAGTTTTTGTTATGTGTGCGGAGAGCTAGCTTTTAAATCGCAAAATCGTGCTTTTAGTCCCCTTGTGTTGAAAGCATTCGAAGCTTATTTTGTAATTGAAGTTGGCGACCAAGATAAACTATGGGCTTCTCACATATGTTGCAAGACTTGTGTAACGTTGTTAACAGATTGGTTAAGAGGCGACAATCGTAAAATGCCCTTTGCGGTACCAATGGTTTGGAGATAACCGAGACCATACTACTGATTGCTATTTTTGCCTCACAATTATTAAATGTATTGAACCAAAATCGAAACATACTGTTAAGTATTTTATTTACCATCAGCTTTGCGGCCCGTTAAGCATAGTGATGAACTTTCTGTCCCAGTTCCACCAGAATCTTGGTCTTTGGATGAAAAAGTCGAATCCACCGATTCTGAAAGTGATGGTACAGAAAGCGTACAAATTTCTGAACCTCCGTTTGACCTGCTAGGATGTTCAACAGCGCCGCATTTGATCACACAGGGCGAAGTTAATCATTTAGTTCGAAAATTAAATCTGTTAAAATCCCAATCGGAACTTTTAGCGTCAAGATTAAAAGGATGGATTCTTCTTCACGGTGATGTTAACATTACTTTTTACCGAAAACGGCAACAAGAAAGGGAGTTGATTGATATATTGCTCCGATGTCAACAATTTGTTTGACGCGTTAGGACAGAAACATTATCCAAATGATTGGCGCCTGTTCATTGATTCCTCTAAGCTTAGTTTAAAAGCGGGTAGAATCATATGAAAATGTGCGAGTTCTGTTAGAGCATATCCGTTATAATGAATATGGATGGGCCATATGTGCAGATTTAAAGGTAATATCCTTCTGCTAACCAAATATTGTTGTGTTCTTTGTGAATGGGACGGTCGTGCGCGAGGGTCGTCATTATGAACGAAGGAGTGGCCACTACGGCAGGTATTAACTCCGGGCCCCAGAAACATTGCTGATGAATCACTAGTTGATCCCAAAAACGAGTTGAATATTAAGTTGGGACTTCTTAAAATTTTTGTGAAAGCTATGGATCCAAATGGAAGAGGGTTCTTCTGCATTTAAAACAAACATTTCCGAGACTTAGTTAGGCAATAATTAAAGAGGGCATATTTGTGGGTCCACAATACGGAAAATCATGAAGGATGATATATTGACAGTGCTCTAAATGAAACTGAATTACGAGCTTGGAATGCTTTTAAATTAGTTACTGCAAATATTTTAGGCAACGTGAAGGCGAACCAATTATAAGATATTGTGAATGAATTAATTAATGCTTATAACGGAATAAATGTAGCATGTCTCTAAAATTCACCAAGACATTTCTGCTAAGGAAAAACGGTATCAAGTCAAATGAGTGTCAATTTGCTTGCTGATTATTGCTGGGCATGTAAAGAGATACTTCAGGAGCAACATATCGCCGTAAAACATCGACAACAACATTCTGAGATTAATGTTTATTCGAGTGTTTATTAGTACTCTTACACACATATCCTTATATTTTACGAGTATAAGCAGCAAATAAAATGCCTTTATCAAAAATTCATAACATATACATTGTTTCTTATCAATTATTTTCAATATTTTCTAACTAATTTGCATGAACTTAATTGAATTGCTCATTTGATGTGTAGATGGCAACAGGCTGTGTATGAGTTTGGGTGATGGCTAGTAGGTAATGATGTATGATATGAAATGTTTCTTGGTGGAACAACTTGAGAAACGTATTAACTGTATTAACTCAAGCACACTCAGTGGAAAGTATCTCAGATCAAGTGACAGCCAAGTGATCTACAAGAACACACACCATCAACTTTCCAAACAAGGCTTGGGTGGTTGTAATGAAGCAGCTATTCCAGTAAATAATTGTTTACTTTATATTACTTCTGTTTTGTGATACATTTATCAGATAATTTTGTAGCATTTTTCTAAGAGAAAATGCTGTACGGTTTGTTCGTACAGTAGTCGGTAACTCGTCCGTGACTATCAAAATCAGAATCATTACCTGTTCGTACAGTTTCTGACTGTTTGCCAACTGCTAATCCGCTGTTCGTACATAACCTTCTAACAGATCAGAGGACACCAGTCAACCAGTGACAGATATCAGAGTGTGTGTCGAAACTATCTTGAGGACTAAAATTGCTTCGCAAAAGGCATTTAATGATCGATTACTCTTCTGTAGTTGAGGGTCTGGGATACCTTCACATCGACGGGCCGTTGGAGATCTAGCTACGCCAACCGGATTTGCTCCTCAGAGCTCTCTCCCATGGTGTCGCCGCGCCATGTGCCTGCCTGTCTTTGGCCTCCATCGTAACCGTGTCGAACTTCGTACACCTAGAACTGACCGATAAGACCGCTCCTTTGTCCCGAGAGTGTCAAGAATGTGTAACAATACATTAGGAGCTTTTCCCAGTTCTACTAACTTTAGGCAATTCAAAAATGGAAATAACAAACTTTCTTTAAACTCCTCAAAGCAGCCGCGGTACAATGCCATATAGGCTTCACTGCGCGACTGCTTCGGTGTAAAAAAACTGAGCGATACACCCAGAACATGAAGACCTTGAGGATCTACTGAAGGAGAGAAAGAAACCCAAAAACCTGAATTTTGTGGAGAACAGTGCCACAATTCAACAGCAACTTTCGGGTGAGCAAGTGGCAGATAAAATATTTTGTTTATTGACCCGGTAATGGGAAAATGAAGATTATGAATACAGCATGAAACATCCGAACAATAGTGGACCTAACTTTGAATAATTTATAATTTTTATCACTAATCTTTTGAAAAATTTTGTTACAGTTGCAAAATGCGAAATTACGCGATTTAAGTATGTAATTTCGTAGTCTCAGTTCTTCTTGTCCATGTTGAGAACACTGTGAAACATATAGCTATGTAAGCAGATCTGGTTAATTTTATTGTAGTTATGTTGAGCCGTTTTAGCTTTTTAGTGTATAGCAGCACCCTTTGTTATTCAAAGACGTTATTAAATCCTTGTACTATTTTGCTTCTTTCTTCTAGTGAGAGTCTGCATATACAAGGCAATTCAAATTCGGCGCTCACCATCGGGATCTTGGAAACTGTGAGAGATACGAAGTCAACTAAATGGGGGTAGTCAACGAAATGACACTTAGAAAGTTTAAAAATTCGAAGTACTTCCGCAGAGTGACGGAAAACTGAATTTTCCCAAAATCGTTTTGATTTTTTCCTGACTATTTATATTGGGATCTTAAAATAAATTACACATTAACATTGCCACGTTTTCTCCTCTTCAAGAAAGCATAATCAGAGTTTTTATATGACGGTTCGTCTCTTGACCTCCAGCATCACCTTTATTATCTCTTTAGGACAGAGTTTTTAATTTTGATCCAAAAAAATGCATAGACGTTGCCAAACCTTGATTACTTAAAAAAAGAATTTCTTAGGTAGGACTTGAAATTATCAGATATTTGTTTCGCTCACCAAAATGGCTTTATTTTTTTTCCTGACTTTATTTGAGACTTCCATCATCAACTTTGCTTTTCAAACGGACGCTATATTGGAATTTTGTACATTTAAATGGACTTTTCAGCTCCAAATTCAGTGATGTATTTCGTTAGTTGACCATAAATTTATTGTTGAATGAAAATTATAAGGAATTGAAAGATATGGTGAAATCTGAACACGAAATGAAAATTTTATTGATGGTAATATAACAATAATAACCCTAAATGAAATCTGATAATTTCAAAGCCTACCTAGGAACTTCTGGAATAACTAAGGTTTTGCAATGTCAACGTATAACATATTTTACATTTGTGAAATCTGAATAAAAATTCTATCCATGTGTGTAAAAATCCATATGCCGTCTACAAGAAAAAATTAAGGTAATGATAATTGCTCTGTCTTGAAGAGGAGAAAAATGTGGAAGGAGCTGATGTGCAACTTAGTTTGAAATTTCACCACAAATAAAGTCAGAAGATTAAAACCATTTTGGAAAATTTAGTTTTTTACGACTCTTTCCGGAAGTACGATTAATTTCAAAACCTAAGCGACATTTTGCTGATTATCTGAATACGCAACTTTGCACCTATTTTAGCGACTTAGTATCACTTAGAGTTTCCGACATCCCAATGGTGAGGGTCGAATTTAAATACCCTATATAGACAAATATTTTTTTCACCCCAGCACTCCCTCTCCGTTGGCGCCCGTGAAAGAAAGCTGTATCACAAATCTCCAGTATTCGTTATTTTGTTTTTCTTTTCATCAGCTTTGGGCTGGACTTGCGCAGCTATAATATATAAATACCGTTTGTGCATACGCTGAAGACTGGGCGACAACGGAACAGGAACAAAAACACTACTATCCGAGTTTCACTAAAAGTTATTCACAATACTTTGTACATTTCTCACGCATCACTGTAGACGTTTATTTAAAATTCTTACTATTCCTTCTTCAAGTTGTCATTCGATGCGTCGAATCATATTCGAATTTATTGTTATACTTTCTACTACTACTAAATCTACTTGAGATTTTTGAGTGCTGTTATTTTTCTAGAAAGTGTCCCATGTTTTCCTCTCTACAGGAAAATTCGGGCACATTCGGGCAGTTGGACGATAAATCCTAGATCATTATGATTTACAGCAAGTGAACATACTCCAACTTTTCCAAAATTGTCTACTTCATTGTGAAAAAAATGTACACTCGGAATAATAATTATTGTACTTGATTCGAGCTCTGACAATTTTAATGGCAAATTATGTGCTGACTAATTTGACAGTCATCAAACAGTCAGAAGTTTCTGTACGAACAGCGGAATAGTTGTCGGTATATCAGTCTTTAGCTCCCTCAGCCAACTCGTAACGTTCTCTTGTACGGAATCTATACAGTCAGAGACTATCAGTTTGCTGATCGTCAGCAAACAGGCTGCACGAACAAACCAACAGACAATTGACAATTGTTATATTTCGTATGTGTAATGATCTTATGTTTGTGTGTATGTGTTATGCCAATGCGATTTCGTTTTATTGTAATCAGAAAGTAAAGATAATATGTTTTGATTTTCTATTTGAGCTTTCTCTTATTTTCGATTAAATGTTATTTCTTGTTACAGATAAAGTTTTCGTCACCGTAATTTATTACTCTGGAGCTGCCACATTGAAGCACGAGTTTGAGAATTTGTCAGTGAAATACCTTCGCACCAAATTGGACAGAGGAAGACTGAAATATTAGTAAGCATTGCCTGTATATGAGGATATGGAATCAACTGCCGATATTCGAATGATAGTTCAAGTTGTTCGACCTCATCTACCAAAAACTTCGTATGTTATATTTGGGACCATCTGCAGGTGAGACTGCGGGTTTCATTGCTTTTACTGGTTGTGCATTTGCTTAAAAATTTTTTATAGGACGACGTTTCGGTCCCAAGGGTGAACTTCATCTAGTTTAATTGAAATTTATTGACAGTATATTTTATCTGTCTTCCAAGTGTCCCTGCGTTTGTTTTTTCCATTTATCTCCACTTCACTAGTACCAGGCGGTGATGGCCATGAGGTAATCACTGTGTGTGGTCAGTGCTACCAATTTTTGCTATAATCCCAATGTCGAATTTTCGACAGGATATACGTCCGCGTATAAGATAAGAAATGTTTCTGGGTGAAACAACTTGAGAAGCGTGCGCAAATTCTCTAGTAATTCAAGAATAGATACAGTGGAAAGTATCTCATATGGAGATGCAGTGAAGTGATCTACAAAAACAAAAAGAAAATATAGGCCACAACACACCATCAACTTTTGTCTTTTCTGATGACCAAGAAACCTTTCCAAACAAGGCATGGCTGGTTGTAACGAAGCAGCTATTCCAGTAGTTAATTGTTTACATTATACTACTTCTGTTTTGTGTTCATTCATCAGACAATGGTTATATATTCGTTGGTGTTTGTGTTGAATTTCTGATTGTGTGTATGTCTTATGCCAAAGCAATTACGTTTTATTGTAATCAGAAAGTAAAGAAATATTGTTTTGATTTTCTAGTTCAGCTTTCTCTTATTTCCTATTAAATTTCTTTTCTTGTTACAGATATGGTGTCCGCGAAGTTAGTGCTCAAGGCGGCAAAGATTTCGTCACCGTAACATATCACCTTAGGCTCACATCGAAACAGAGTTTTTGAATTTGTCGGTGCGACACTTCGCACCAAACTAGACAAAGATGAAGACCTTAATTATTATAAAGTATTGTCTGTAGGTGTAAGTTTGATTTACTGCCTGAAGAGATGAAATCAGCAGCCGATATTTGAATGGTTGTTCAATGTTTTCGACCATCTATCTACCAAAAACTTCATATGTTATATATGGAACAACCTATAGGTGGTGTTATCGGTTTCATTGCGTGTCCTGGTAGTGCATTTCGAGAGACAATATATCTTGAATATGATTGTCTGGCCAATCAAACGACAACATATGTAAAAATTCTTTTCTGGACACCATTCGGTTCCAACGGTGACCATCATCGACTTAATTGAAATTTATTGGCAGTATATTTTATTAATCTTTTTTCCAGTTTCACATTACTTTACAGTGTGTTTGTTCTATTACAATAGTCCGAAAGGTCTGTAACATGCTAAGATTCGCGAAGCAATCATTGTAATTTTAGGATGGTTCTGCGCAAAACTAGCTGAGCCCAGGACTGCTTGGGTTAGGCATTCCCGTCCCCAAAAGAACGTCCAGCTTTCTAAATCGATAAGCGAGCATAAGGTCGTTTTCAATGTACCAGTCACGTCACACTCCCCCATCGTCCCGAACATGCCAAGTCCAACGAAAACGTGAAGACAAAACCAGAACTGTATTCCTAACACATTGGTTAGTTGTTATGTAATCTTCGACTAAAATGCTGCACGTGATGTGCATTTATGGATCTGAATAATATAAGACGCAACAGTTTGGCCGTGAGGTGCGAAGTAAAATGTCTACGGAATTGACATCTAATAACAAACTATAAAAAAAACCTTGAAAAAGGTCATGGTCTGTTAGTTATGTTGGAGAATACAAATTAGTTCTTTCCTTCAAGGATACTCAAACAAACAACCAACAGTCCACTAGAGAAGTAGAAAGAGAGTTGTTAAATTTCATACAGACAGTTATTGTTATTACAAAAATAAGTTAAAGGAATCAGCCCGAATGAAGTGAGTGATGGTCCATCCGTGGGCATACAAAACAAAACAAAACCGGCAGCAAATTCTCACAAATCTATAGATCCATATTCTTCAGCTCCCGATTTTTCAACTTCAAAAATGCAGTATTGACAATACCGTCCTAAGTGCAATGCGAAACTTCTAGAACTACCTAGTGCCTAACATAAATCGTCTTCATAATTCTTCCTTTTTGTGAATTGGAAACTGAAATTGTTGATTATTACCGTATTTAATGCTGAAATAAACAGTTGGGGTTCGTGTTGCAAATCCCATGTCTAATCTCTCAAAACAGGTTATTCACCGGAACTTCCTACCAACTTCTGAAATGCCATTACTGATCAGTTTTTAGCCATGTATATAACAGGTTTGTACTCATAAAACACTCTTACATGAAAACTGTTTATTGTCCAAAAACGAAAATACGCATCTGAAGATGAGTAATGCAGTATAATTTACGAAATTTCAACTGTAATATGAACTTATAAAGTTAACATATGCCATTTAACAACATATTTGGTCTTCATATTCTACTACACAAAAAACACTTACATACTTATTACAGATTGTAGAACATTTATTGTCGTTGTGAGACGGGCTCATGTAACACCTACGTCATTTTTTACTTTAACAACTGCAAGGATCAAGAACTCTGGGCTGAGAAGTCGACGGCTTCTTTGCATGGCTGAACGAAGCTCCCTAGGTAGTCTTGGTTCCGATAAACGTCGTCTCAGATGAAGTTCAATTAGAGTTTGCCTCAGGGAACAATAAAATTTCGTCGCGCTAATAGAATTTCCAGTCCCAGACCGGAACAAAAACAAAGGAATTTACAGAAGCTGTATGCATAATAGGATACCAAATAGTACAAGGCCATCTTCTCGTTCTTTAACCTGTATTGTAATTTACATACTTCCGATCTAATGCATCACCTCCCGCCTTCATGGAGTGATACAAATAATATAGAATCATATCAGGCTTCTTTGATTCTTCTACTATTTTGTTATCATACTGCAATACGAGAACGTGTTTCTTCGGTTTTAGAACTTCGACACTAAGGTTGTAGTGCAAGTGTACATAAACTTAGAAGTACCTGGCCGTGTTTTATTATTTAGAACTACATATTGAGGTATTTTTTCTTATTTTTACGGTTCCTCCCGACATAGGTCAGTTGGCTGTTGCGCAATTCTACATCTAATTCTATTGACGTGAACCAGTGATGTGCGGTGATATTTCTGTTCGTTTAGACGAAAGCATTGAGCAGGTAGTGAGTATTTGCATCACAAAGGCATAGCATCTTCAGTCCCTACTTGTTCTGTTTAGTATTCTTGTATGTTCAGAAAGAACATCGGCCCACGAGCAACTCGTCTTTTGCAGGGACTCACCCTGATATAACAATTCCCTCAGTTCGGTATGAATATCTCAAACATTTCACGTATGGCGTAATGTATCTGCCTTTCTCGAGTCACTGGTAGAAATACTATGAAACCTCTATGTGGCTAGCAAAAACATGAACCTCTTTAGGGGCCTAGTAGCACGGAAAATGTCTCTGCCAGTGCAGTCTGATGCAAATAAACCTTCGACATTTTGATGGTTGGATTTGAAAACTGATGTCAAATAGAGCTAGCCAAAAAATGCTTTGATCTCGGCTGAATCTGTGTAATTTATATATGAAGCTGTTTTTCCATATTTACTGGATATATTTTCTTATTTGTACAATCCACAATTTTGCTAATAATTTCATCGGTTATGAGAAGAGATCTGTAGTTGACAGGTACTTATCTTCCAAATTGCTTGCCACGGGTTTTAGTTAGGTTAGGTAAATACGTAATAATATTATGTCGTCTGGTTCGACCATTTGCAGGCGCAAATTTTGACCATTTGTGCATGATTTTGTCTATAATCATAGCCTACGGATGTTAGTGGAAAGTCTGAAGAACAGTCCGAGTCCGCTCTGTACGGTGTCAAAATCGAGGTCGACCACAGGAACTTGTTCGGGTTGATCGATAACAGCGTCGTCCTCGGTATCGTCTATGGTGTATTGGTGTATTGTTCATCCGTCAATAATGAAAAAATCCATTGTGAAAAAGTTCAAAACGTACACGCAACTGGTATCGCCGGGTCAAATTTGAATATGAGAAGTCACGGGATCCCACCTCATAACTGAGAAAGAGTCGAATCAGAGACGAATTAAAGATGCTCTGGGTCAATTTTCACCCGATGATACCATTAAAGGATTAAATTCTTCCATATTCCTAAACGAATCCATAAAATGGAATGAACTTTGTCCGTGAATATTCTCCGAGCAAAGCGTCTCAAGTGCAGTTTTGATCTCTGCGCCCTGATTACAAATAGTGCATAGTATCCTTCACTAGATAATAAGCCACATCCTGCTTATAATTTTTACGCATCCCTCATGTCAACAAGGGCGTGATTAGCGAACTTGTTAGTTATCTTCTCTTCTGTTATCCACAATTGACTTTCAATGATTTCCATAAACTGATGTCTCCCCTAATTCTACAAAGATTAAATTGAGCTCAAATCGCCCATCTTGTTCAACTGTTTCTTTAACCAAGACAACTTACAAGTGAGATGGTGAATTTGGTATATTTTAGATTTCCTATTGTTAAATCACTTTTACAGAGTTCTAGTTGCTTATAATTAGACCATACCATAAAGGGGTTTCCCATTAAAAACGTGAAGCGAATTCTGTTTCTTCACGGGTAGACGTAATCCTTTGATGAACGTGTGCACCTTGGCCCGTTACATCGCGCTGCTGGAAACAGCAGCAGATACTCTGGAAGGTAAATTGTCATTATAGATAGTTGATTTTGGCATTCATTAAAACACTTAGTACTTGACTCCTGAGTTGAGTGAAGGAAGTTTTCTGACGTGAGGTATTAAGGAATTAAAAAAGATGAGATCCCTATCGTCATCAGTGATATCCTATTTTTCTAGCAATGATCTTTTCTAAATCAAAAAATGCTTTGTCCAAGTCATCTGTTTTGCTTCGAATTATGAGTTATTTTCTTTGTAATCTCATAGTTGTGCGAGGATTATAAGTAAGTCACCTTGTACGAAGAATTCGGCAGTGTAATTGTTGTTGGCAGTAATGCTTTTAAAATATTAATTAAGATTTCATTCCATATCTCTTCACGGTTACGACGTAGTTTATAGACTACCACTCCCTCCATATGCATGCTTACGGGTAGAAACTAACATTGGGCGTTTTTAATGCATCTAGTTATACTCCAACTCATAATTAGTATTATTTCCCCGGAACACCAATGAAAGCAGTAGTTTCTGACAGGCAACTTGTTTCTATGCTAAACGGAATGCGGAGGTTAAATAGAATTTTAACGAGTAGAAATCTTCTTTGGTATATGGGTCTTTTTTTATACTCCAACTACCACGAAGGCCTAAGGCGTAAACACCCATTGGGTACCGTGGGGCTATGGGGGGATACAGGGGCAAGGGGGACGCCACACGGACTCTGGCGAGGGAACACGTGTGCATGCAACATGCACACATTCTGGCTCCGCCTACGAGATCTGCCGGGTGGTACCTCCACGTTCGACAGTCAGAGACCGTCTACCACCTACGGACAATCACAACATCCATAGCCAAGAGAAAATTTTCTGCTGGGACGGGACTCGAACCCGCACAGCGCAGGAGACCGAAGAGTCTACTACTGCGGCCACCGCTGCTGCCTCGTATAGTAAAACTAAAAGAACATGAACACATAAAAAAACATAAAACCAAAAGAACATGAACACAAATTAAAAATTTACATACATTCAGTGCTACTATCATTACATGATAGAAAAACAAATTGCATACGACGATGGGCATAAAAATGTAGGAGCTAGATTTAAGGTTCCTCAATATCGTCATTCATGATGGCCCGGCAGGCTGCACACACTTCATTGTGATCAGGACATAGCAGGTGACAGTTTCTGCAAGAATGCATGCGCGAGACAACATGTACCTCATTGTCATCTTTTGCTTCCTGTTTATTCTGGATCACTTTGTCATCTAAGGCCATTTGAGCCATATCGTGATCAATGACCTCTAAGAAGTCATTAACTTCGGTGTCTGTCATCAGGGAAGATGCATCCGGATCATGAATCAGTGTTACAAGCAAATCTGAAA